TGGCAGGAGGAGATGCCACGACCCGCAAGCAGGTCTGTGGGGCTGAAGAAGAGAGAGCACGGAGGAGTGTGGTATGCAGACAGGTTGGAGGGGTGGTAAGAGATCCATCATGCCTTTAGACAACAATAAAGTGTTTATTTTTTCTTTATTCCGTGTGCAATAAGAAGCCAGTGCAGTGTTTCAAGAAATGAGGTGATCTAATCTAATGAATGAAAAGATCCCTCTGGCTGCAGTGTAGAGAATGAATTAGACAGCAGCAAGAGCCCTCTACTAGCTTGGAGGCTTATGAAGTGTTCTAGGAGAATGGTGGTAGCTTGGTTTAGAGCCGTGAGGCTGGAAGATACAGGAGATAATTAGAGAATAAAAGCAGTGGGCCTTCGTGACAGAATGGGAGGTAAGTTAAAGGAAAGTGTCCGGCATGGCTCCTAGGTTTCTGTTTTGCATAACTGGATGGATAGCAGTGCCGAGTGCTTTATGCCGGAATAATAATGATAGCAAACGCTTATGTAACACTAACTCCTTTTATTCTCACATAACCCTAAGAGGTACATAATATTATTACCCCCACTTTACCAGTTATAAAGAAACAAGGGATCCCAAAATTCTAGCTCATAATAATAATATACGGCCATAACTATTCGCTCAGTTGCTTCAGTGTGAAACATGAAATTAATGCAGTGCCTTAAAGATTCCCAATTGTGTTTTCTTTCTTTTAGAACCTTAAAAGAAGGGAATTCCCTATGGGAGTAGGAAATTTAACCAGGAAATCAGTAGGACTTGGACGCCAACTATCTTTTCTGAGGGCATGGGTCAGATATTTTCAGACTGTGAAAAGGTCAAGGATCGGTGTCAAAGAGAGCAGTTCCCAGATAGACATATTGGAAGAGAGATATGATAGCTGACTTTTATTGAACCCTTATATGGGCGTGACACTGTTTTTAGCTCTTCATATGCATGTGATCTTCTTTAATCTTCAAATCTGTAAGTCATGTGACCCTTTTTACAGATGAGAAAAATGAGTCTTAACAAGGTTTAAAAATACTTGCCCAGGGTCAGCAGCTAGTAAGTGGCACAGCAGATCACTGACAGTTCTGAGATGTTTACCCATTTTGCTACTCCACTCTCAGGAAATAGAATATATAGGCAGTCCTCACTTTGTATCATAGTGCAGGACCTTAAAAATGACCATGCAAGCTAAAACCATGCAAAGCAATTGTAATAATCAATGGGAAAAATGCAATTGTTCCATGACCTTTAAAAAGTTTTGTCAAAACATTAAAAACTCTCTTACTGTGTGTTATAAATGAGTAGGAAAATTTAAAAAAAGTAAAACTTACATTTAATACACTGCAATTTAAAACATTAGAAACATTGGGAGGGGACCTCATACCATCAGGAAAGCAGTACCAGGAGCAGAGCACGTCCTTTGGACTGGGGTCCCGTGCAGAGAAGCTCCTAGTCCGGGGGAACACTACTGAGAAGGCCGAGATAGAGAAAGCCTTCCCCTGGAGTTGACACCCTGAATTTGGAATTTAGCTTACTTTACTGTAAGGAAATAAACTTCTCTTTGTTAAAACCATCCACTTGTGGTATTTCTGTTATAGCAGCACTAGATGACTAAGACAGAATTTGGTACCAAGAGAGTGAGGTGCTGCTCTAACAGATACGTAAAATGTGGAAGGGGTTTTAAAACTGTGAATGGATAGACGTGCAGCAGTGACAGAGGACCAGCAGCAGCAGAGAACCTACAGCAGCAGAGAACCTACAGCAGCAGAACCAGGAGACCAGTGCGAGATGGCACTGGAGCCAACCCACGGAGCAAGAGAGCTGAGTGCCAGTGAGCGGGAGGCTTCCTGGCGGAGTGGGGTGCCTCCGGGCACTTACCGGTGGAGCTAGGCTTGCCAACCCACGGAGCAAGGGAGCTGAGTGCCTGTGTGTAGGAGGCTTCCTGATGGAGTGGGGTGCCTCCAGGAACTTATTGGTGGAGCTACAGAGCTTTGGAACACTTGCCCCAGCAGGGCAGATGTGGGCATGAGGCCCGAGGGCCAAGAGGCCACAGGAAACAGAAGCAGAAGCTGAAGAGACAAGGGACACAAGAAGCCGAGCTGCCTCAGTCTCAAAAGGTACGGCTGTGACCCTCGGGTTTCAAAGGGTGGAGCCATACCCTCTGGTGTTTCTAAGGGTGGAATTGTCACTCCGATGGACTAGGAGTATGGTGCACCTAAAGTCAAGGGAGCAGAGTTGCTGTCCCAGTGGGCCTGGAAGGCAGAGCTGAAGCCCAGGGCCGAGAGGCCTCCACTCAAAATCCAGAGACTGTGGCCAATACCTGGAGTCTGGAGGGCAGGGCTATTGTGTAAATTGTCTCAGAGAGCAGAGGATTATTTTCAAAGCCTTGAGGGCTAATGTAATGTGTTCTGCTGGCTTGCTTGGTGCCTGTTATCACTTCTTTTCGTCTAGTTTCTCCCATTTGTAATGGAAATGTCTAGCTTGTGTCTGTTCTGCCATTGTACCTTTGGAATCAGATAACTTGTATTCTAGATTTCACAGATGAAGAGGAATTTTTAGATTTTGGACTTGGAGTTAAGACTTTTGCTATGATATGATGGGGTGAATATGTTTTCCATGCTGCAAGGATGTGATTTTTTGGGGGCCAAAGGGTGGAATGTCATGGTTTCAGTTATGTCCCCCAAAAAATGTGTGTATCAATTTGGCTGGGCCATGATTCCCAGAATTGTGTGGTTGGCCTCCATTTTGTGATTGTAATTTTATGTTAAAGAGGATTAGGGTAGGACTGTAACACCACCCTTACCCAGGTCACATCCCTGATCCAATGTAAAGGGAGTTTCCCTAGGGTGTGGCCTGCACCACCTTTTACCTTACAAGAGATAAAAGGAAAGGGAAGCAAGCAGAGAATAGGGGACCTCATACCATCAAGAAAGCCGTGCTGGGAGCAGAGCTCGTCCTTTGGACCGGGGTCTCTGCGCCGAGAAGCCCCTAGCCTGGGGGAACACTGATGAGAAGGCCGAGAGACAGCCTTCCCCTGGAGCTGACACCCTGAATTTGGACTTTAGCTTACTTTACTGTAAGGAAATAAACTTCTCTTTGTTAAAAAAAAGATTAGAAACATTGAGAAAGTGTTTTCTTTTTTAAAAACTTACCAACTTTGAATATACTAAAAATCATTGAATTGTACACTTTAAATGGGTTAAGTCTATGGTACGTAAATCTCAGTAAAGCTGTAAAAAAAACTTAACAAAAGTAGTTTTGTATTTTACCACAATAAAAAAATTTAAGCTAGAAGAAAAAGAAGGAAAAACATAGTTTGAACAGTGCTTGCCTTCTTCTTGTCATACGACTTACGATATAGAGCAATCATCTTTTCTATGCCTTGGTAAATTGTCATACTCCTTTCTAAGTTTGGATTAGCTTCTAACATTTTATCCTTTGCACTTTAGATGTTGTGAAATATCTCTGAGTTCCTTTAATGTGAAGTTTTTTTGCTGGTATCACTACCTCTGGGATAGCCTCATCCCTTTCATCACAGCCACTTCCCTCATTTATGTTGATAAATTCTCCTTCACCAAGTTTTTCTGGCTATGTAGCTACAGTCTTTTAAATGATGGCAGTGTCAACATTTCCACGGTCACCTGTTTCTTCTAGAACTCCGTTTATGTTGAATTTGAATTTCATGTCAGCATTGTCATTTTTCATTTCTTTGCCGGCCATTTCTCTCTTTTGATTATCCATTTTTGTAAAATGTCATGTGGGTTTAACCCTGGGAGACAAGGAGGCAACATAACTACACGCTTTGCTGTCTGTGTGTGAACTGAATAACAGATGCTCAGTGACCAGTCACTGACAGACTTTGAAAGAAGTGACATGATTTGTCACTAATCATGATGTGCATCTGTTATTTACATAGTAATCTGTGGACTGAAGAGCTAGTGACAAAGTTTGTACTTTATGTAATTACTCACAGTTAATATACTATGATAACTGAAATTTGAACCGTGTTGTTGGAGGACCAGTATTATTTGACTGTTGTTGTTGTTGTGTGCTGTCGAGTCAATTCTGACTCATAGCGACCCTATAGGACAGAGTAGAACTGCCCCATAGGGTTTCCTAGGCTGTAATCTTTATAGGAGCAGATCACCAGGTCTTTTCTCACGTAGAGCTGCTGGGTGGGTTCAAACTGCTGACCTTTCCATTAGCAGCCGAGCACTTAACTGTTGCACCACCAGGGATCCTTCCATTATTTGAAAAAATGGTGGTAATTGAAATTTGTGCATGCCAAAATGGTGCAAAGCAAGGACTGCCTGTATGTGTGTATGTTCGTGTGTAGTATACCCTAAAAGCCTAGCTGTTATTTCACTTCCTAGCATTGTAACTCCTCCTGCTCTATTCCTGTCTCTTAAATGAACATTTATAGTGTTGAATTGATTATATAGATTTGTATTTTTTAAATTCCTAATTTGATAACATTTTAAATTGAAAAAAAAAGTGGGATTTCTACAATATTCCAAATGAAAGTAGTGAAATACACCACTTAGCACCAGAGATGAACTCATTGTTTCTAAAAACACTTGTGCAAATTTCTTGTCAACCCAAGCATGTCATGGACAAGCACTACCAGGTATGCTGAACACTTAACTATAATCATTAATTTTCAGGCTCATACTGAGTTTAATTTATCTCACTTATATTTGCCGTAAAAAATGTTTATGCATTAAATAAATAGTGGGTGAGTGTGGTATTATGTGCATGATACTGTGTGACATTCAGAGACAGGAAGAAGGGGAGATACAACATACACAGATAACTAAAACATTGAATAAGTCAGTAATAAGAGTCATGGAAGAGAGATAACCAGTTAAGTTCAGAGATGGGATTAAGGAATGCTTTTGGGATTAAGTGACATTTGAGTAGAACCTTGGGAAATGTGTCTAAAAACATTTTAGAGCACCCGTAGCCAATCATTCCTAATTGTTTTTTCCATACAGTATACCAGTCTAATGGATGAGATTCCTGCATATTCTGGTGGCAGAAATAACCATTGGAGAAGATTAACCCTCGAAAACTTTCCTAAGGCAATGATGATATATGATATAGTTGATTATGCAGAGTCTGGGGTAATCTCAAGCCGTCTACAAAAAGAAATGAAGTATCTATCACAAAGACCAAAAACAGAGGAGATGCGTCAGCACCAGCTACAGATTGTTTCTGAAGTTAGGTAAAAGTGATCCTTCATCCTGGGGAAGGCAGCACAACTTGTCCAAGGAAAGGTCATGGAAGCTCCATAGACACATCCAAACTCCCCAAGGGACCGAATTACTAGGCTGAGGGCTGTGGGGACCATGGTCTTGGGGAATATCTAGCTCAATAGGCATAACATAGCTTGTAAAGAAAATGTTCTACGTCCTACTTTGGTGAGTAGTGTCTAGGGTCTTAAAAGCTTGTGAGCGGCCATCTAAGATACTCCACTGATCTTACCCCCTTGGGAGCAAGGGAGAATGAAGAAAACCAAAAATACAAGGAAAAGATTAGTCCAAAGGACTAATGGGCCACAACTACTACGGCCTCCACCAGACTGAGTCCAGAACAACTAGATGCTGCCTGGCTACCACCACTGACTGCTCTGACAGGGATCACAATAGAATGTCCCAGACAGAGCTAGAGAAAAATGTAGAACAAAATTCTAACTCATAAAATAAGACCAGACTTACTGGCTTGACAGAGACTGGAGAAACCCTGAGAGTATGGCCCCCGGTCACCCTTTTAGCTCAGTAATGAAGTCACTCCTGAGGTTCACCCTTCAGCCAAAGATTAGACAGGCCCATAAAACAAAATGAGACAAAAGGGGCACACCAGCCCAGGGGTAAGGACAAGAAGGCAGGAGGGGACAGGAAAGCTGGTAATAGGGAACCCAAGGTCGAGAAGGGAGTGTTGACAAGTCCTGGGGCTGGTAACCAATGTCACAAAACAGTATGTGTACTAATTGTTTAATGAGAAGCTAGTTCTGTAAACCTTCATCTAAAGTACAATAAAAAAAGAAGTGATCCTTCATCAAGGTTACACTATTAGAGGCATTCCTGAAAATGTTCACATTCTGCCAAATAGCTCACTAAAGATAATAAGGCATATGGGAAAAATAGGGTTGAGGCAAACTGCTCAAAACTTATGCAACTTTGTAAACAGAGCACTAACAAAAAGAACAACTGGTATCTGGGGAGATAACTTGGACCACCAGACACGCAGCTTAGTATGGCTGGAGGCTGCCACAGCAAATATAAAAGATATGCAACAATAGAGTGGAAATGCTGGCAACTCTTTAATTAGAGCTAGTGGTGAGCACCGAGACAATGCTGATGGAAGTGGAGCCCTGGGCCAGTGTGGTTGCCTTGTAAGTGGACATGAGAAGCAATGTAACGTGCCAGGAACCCAGAGCCGCCCAAGGCAGTGGGGTGAAATGAGATGAGGAAGGGTGGGGAGTTGTGCCCCTCTGGGGAGAGAGACCTAGGTGCAGGTGCTAGTTTTCATTTTCATAAATACAGCCAAAAGGGCTCCTATTGCCCATGCAGCATGGAGCTAAGGGCTTTTTCCTTTTCTGTGGAAGGTTATAATTCTGCTCTTGCTATTCTGGCTCCCCTTGCCTAGGATAAATCGTATGTGAATTACACCGACATTATTCCTTTCTTTACCAATAGCATGCGAGCTAATTCACATTATAGAAATGTACATTGTAGCAAAACAGACTGTATTATGATCTGAAACAACATGGACAGAGGATGACTCCTCTAATTATATTCCTTTTTTTTTCCATTACCAAGTCTCACCTAGCCCATCTGATTAACAAAGCTTTCTCTCTTACGAAAAAGAGATAATAAGACTAAAGAAGATCTGTTGGTAATCTGTTTTCATGCACTCATATTTGAAAGGAAAAATACTCCTTTAGTCCATGAAGAGGACACTGATGACCCACTGTCAGGCAAAAACCACACTGCTTTTTTTTCCAACAGTAGAGATGAGTGATGCTGACCCAATAACATAATTTAGCTCATTTATGATCAAGGCTATACATTTGCCAGACAGATGGCCTGGTTTAGGGTACAGTCTGTCATGATGAAATAGATTTTCTCTAACTCATCCATATAAGAACTGAATATATAACTTGATCCTATTACCACCAAGGTCAAATAAGTGATGTCATTTTCTCTGCCAGCATTTATAACCCCAGGCTCACCACTATTTGGATTCATGCTACTGGTTATTCAAGAATAAGTCACTTAAGAGCCAAATGAGTAGCCAGATTTTAATTCAATTGAAGAGGAAAAAGTACTTTCATAGATGCTTTTTTGAATGCAGTCTTAGTTTGGGATCTCCCTGAAGCAAACCCTGAGACAAGGATTTGAGTGTTTATTTGGGAGGTGATCCCAGGAAACGCTGATGGGGGGTGGAGAAATGAAACAGGGAAGGGATGGCAGCCAAAACAGGGTGTGTTATCAAGCAGGTTACCACTGTGAGTAACTGGAGCTTAATCCCTCCGGGGAATGCCAGCACGTGTAGAACGTGCAACTCAAGAGTTATCCTGCAAGGGGCAAGGGAGTTGGGGTATTTTTACACCAACAGCCAGCAGTCATTAGTTAAGGGTTGGTTAGGAAGGAAGACAGGCATTCTTGGGCACTTTTGGCCTTCCCTGCACATGGGCTCTTGTTTTCAAAGAAAGTTCTCAGGCTGAGTGATGCAGATGCTGGCAATGGAAGTTGGGCCTATGTGCATTGCACTGGTAAAGCCAAGGGGATGTGGACATGATACCAACTATGTCTGATCCCAACACTGATAAAAAATGGCTTGTTTTTTCAGCCAATATGAAATTTAAATACTTTTTTATGTTAGTATGTGGTGTTAAAAAAAAAAAAGATTCAAATGTCTACTATACAATATTTTCCAGGAAAGCTGATTTTAAATTGATATCAGGTTTTATAATTGTCACCACCATTGTTGTTGTCAGCAGCATCATCTGTATACCTTCATAAGTGGCAGATAAGGAATTATGCTAAGTAGCTCAAACAGAAGTGATAGCTTTGGTCTAAAAGCTTAAGTGCATTGTTCCAAGTACTGAGGTCTATTATATTTGCTAGAGAATGCTTTAATAAAATATGGAACTTGTCTTACATTTAAATTTTATTTTGTGTGATTTTTTCTGCCTATAATACAAATATTTTCTAGGTCCCCTTCACCCTCCTTAACTATCACACCTTTGTATCGGCCCTACAAAAAACAAAGTCCAGTGAAACATCTGGGTCGTCGATCCAAAAAAGCTCAAATTAAAGTTGAAAAAATGAGAAAAGCTTATAAGGTGGAGAAAGAAAAAAAGGCTTCTCTGGTGACAGTGACCGTAAGTTTAACTTGTACTGACTTTGTTGTTTTAGAAAATATTCAAACTGCCTGTAAGTACAATTACTGAACAATCCTGCTTCCATAGGTAGAATTTTCCTAATCTGCAGGTTTAAGGATGAAAACCACCTTTAGTACATACCTTGGATGGTATAAGCTACTTTCATTTTGGTAACACATTTTTAAAATGCTTAAACAATGTTATTAGCTATTTTGATAAATACCAGCTATTTTAGCTCCACATCAGCATGATTTAGCCAAAAAATAAATAAATAATTAAAAAAAAAACCTTAGAAGATTAAAAAAAAAAGTCTCTTTATGTTGACACTGTTAATTCGGCACATCTCTGATGGTGCTTTTCTCAAAATGGAAGTAATTTCTATCTAAATTTATTAAATGCTATACTATGTAAAGTCTGCCTCAGTATATTTCTACGTTGTAGAACTGTTTACAATGACATGGATTCATATATTGCTTTGTAATTTAAGAAAATCTGCTATACATTTTTTGGGATGAGGCTAAGTTATGAACAGTCAAACATAAAAATATGAAGTAGTAATAACCAAATATAAAACACTTTTCACTTTTGTTTTTAATTCTACCTAGGAACCAAAAACAGGCACACCACATACAAAGAAGCAGGAGATCATCGTCTCCACACCATCTTTCGACATTGTGAGAGTTCAAGAATCCATGTCAGATGAGGAATGGAGAAAAGAAGAAAAGGAATTATTTGCCTGGTCTGAAAAATTATGTTTTGATAATTCTCCATCATCTTAAGGCATGGCTAATTGACAGAATAACAAAGTTGTTTAACAATCTACTTGTCTGTCTACAAATGATCAGGAAATCAAATATAAACAAACCCTAGTATGTTCTCATAACCGAATGTGTAACAGATTTTTAAGACTTTTTGTATTACCATAGTTGCATGTATCTTTTACAGACAGAATTTTAATCTGAATAAATTATTTCAATTAGATGCCCTCGAACTAGCAGTGTACAATTTTGTTCAAGAAATGATGAATAAATCAGTCCCTGGAACTTTTATTAAATTTTTATTTTCTTTCATTTAAAATAACTAAACAAGCCATGCTCAGCATAAATATTAGAATTCACAGAATCAAAGGCTGCTGTTCAGTCAGCCTCCAGTGTCTGTTTTTTAGTTGCATGTTGTTTTTACAGATCAGCTTGTGAATGACCTTTACTGAATTATAATAAAAATAATAATGAATTTGTTGCTGTGGTGGGAATGACATAGCATACCAAATCATTACTGAACATTGTAAGCACCTGGGGCAGAATGTTGCATCTGCTTTAATATTGTCCTTTGGATATTTTTCAAGTGGAAAGGCTGTTTTGAATAATAGTTATCAATTTCATTTTGAATTGATATGTTCTCATTCCTGATATAGCACAAAGTATTGATTTTCTTTATGTGTATGATCCAGGCTATTGGACCATATCAAACCTTACCAGAGGTTGTGATAATTTAACCAAATGCAATTATTTATTGAACTTTAAAAATACAATTTTCCATTTTGTTTAACATTTAAAATGTGTAGCTTGATTGCTGATTTAACTCAGGCAGAGAAGCCTATAAAAAAATCTCATCCACTGCTAAAATATTCTCCTAAATGATAAAGAATATTGGAGTAAATGTGTATGATTCCCACTAGACTGTATTTAACATAAACGTGCACTCTTTAATATTAATATGTCCTCATTTGATATCTAAAAAGGATGGATAATCCCATCATTTTTCCAGCTTGTACTAGACACTAGTTGAATATAAAAACATGTATTTCTCTTCATAAGTCACACATATTCATTTATTAAATTGGAAAGCAGTCCCTCATCCAATCAAATGCATATCAAATTCAGTCCACCTGGAGTACATGCAATAACAAAGCTAAATAACATTTCAGATAGCAGGATGGAGGAAAGGGACAGAAGAATGACACATTCTTTACCTTTAAGGGTACCCACTTTCCATATTTCATGGGTTATAGTTCATTGTAAGACCTACCTATAAGGGAGACTGGGAAATGTACTCTTATTTAAGGTGGTTTTGTACCAAATTAAAATTTTATTATTATAAAAGAAAGGGATAATGGGTATTAAGGCACAACTAGCATCTGCTGCCACACAGAGATCATATCTTCTACTGGTTCTTTTAGCTCAGATTAAACAATGTAACCACATCACAGAAAATCCTTTAAAAAGTAGAATTACACATAATCCTATCGTAATGTAACAACCCTTTTCGTTTGCTTATACCTTTCCAATCTGTCTAAATGCATGCATATTTTTCACCATAGATGTAATCATAGATCTAAAATTTCACTTAGTATTATATCTTAAACATAGTCCATTTAAAAATAATATTTTGTGCACAACTTGAAGATATAATCGATGTCACTGAATTATACATGTAGAAACTGTTGAATTGGTGTATGTTTTGCTGTGTATATTCTCAACAACAAAAAATAAATTATTAAAAATATTTTGTACATTTTATTGTGGTAAAATATATATAACATAAAATTTGCTATTTTAACCGTTTTAAGTGTACAATTTAGTGACATTATTACATTCACAGTGTTGTGCGACCATCACCACTATCCATTTCCAGAAGTTTTTATATCACCCCAAAGAGAAATTCAGTACCCATTAAGCATTAACTCCCTTTTTTCCCCTCTCTCCGGCCCCTGGTAACCAATAATATAATTTTGTCTGTTTGCATTTGCCTATTCTAGATATTTCACATATGTGGGATAATACAGTTTTTGTCCTTTTGTGTCCAACATTTTGTTTAACATAATGTTTTTAAAGTTCATCCATGGCATAGCATGTATTAGAACTTCATTTCATTTTATGGCTGAGTAATATTCCATTCTATGTATAGACCACATTTTGTTTATGTTGATGGACATTTTGGTTGTTTCTGCCTTTTAGCTATTATGAATAATGCTACAATGAACATTGGCATACAAGTAACTATTTGAGTGCCTGCTTTGAAGTCTTGGGTATATACCTAGGAGTGGAATTGCTAGGTCATGGGATAATTTTATGTTTAACTTTTTGAGGAACAAAAATTATTTTTAATGGCCACACGATAGCACATTTATTTGATCATGCCTATATTATTGGATATTTGTGTTTCTCATTTTTCACCACTATAGGTAAGTAACACCAGAGTGAACATCTTCATACACAGTCTTCTTTGTTTTGGTTATCTTTCTGTTACTTACTTTTAACCTAATTGCACTCTAATCAGAGAACATGATCTGTATGATAGTGATTCTGTGAAACTTGTTGTGACTTGCTTTATAGCCAAGTACATGGCTAGTTTTCATAAATATTTGTTTCATGCTTGAGAAAAATATACATTCTGTATAGTTGAGTACAAGGTTCTATACATGTCCTTTTGATCAAGCTTGTTAATTATATTGTTTATATTTTCAGTGTGGTACTAATTTTTTATTTGTCTTATCAGTTAGTGAGAAATGTGTGTGTTTCTCCTAATTCTGTCAATATTTGCTCTATGTTATTTGAAGATATTATTAGGTATATATTCTATTTCAGAATTAGCATATCTTCCAGATGAATTAAATCTGTTACCTTTATGTAGTTACTATCTTTATTTCTAATAATGCGTTTTGCCTTGACTATTTTGTCCAATATGAACATAGCTACTTTAGATTTGTTCTAGTTAGTGTTTGCCTGGTGTATCTTTTTCCATTTTTATTTTCAATGTTTTCATGTGCCAGAGACTGGCTAGATGCTCACTAATTCCATTTCCTCTTCCTGGGAACACAGGACTATATTTCCCAGCTTTTCTTATAATTATGGTGGTTGGGCCCACATGAGCTGAGTTCTGGCCAGAGAAATGTGGGCAGAAGTGATGTATATCACTTCTAGGCTTGGTCCCCAAAATGTCGTGCATAGTCTTCTATGCTTTCTCTCTCCCCTGTTCACACGGCTTAAGGCAACGAACTCTGAGTTGGTGGAACCAGGATTGAAGGATCCCAGATTCCTATGTCACTGATTGGAAGAAAGACAGCCAGGGCAGTGGCTGGACCTGATGTACCTATGATGTGAGCAAGCAATAAACTTTATTAAGTCGCAGAGATCTCGGGGGTTGTTTGTTATAGCACTAACATTAATTATTCTGATATACCATGTCTTTGTGTTTTAGGTTTTCTCTAGGATATAGCAGATATCTGGATTTGTTTTGTTTTGTTTCAGTCCAATCTGAGGATATCTTTCTTTTAACTGGTGAGTTGAATCCATTTACATTTTATTGTAATTTTAATTAATTATTGATATATTTGGAATTATTTTTACCGTTTTATTTTGTGCTACTTGTCCTGATTTTTCTGTTTTTCCCCCTTTCCTGTTTTCTTCCAGACTGTTCCATTGATTCCACTTTTTGTCCTCCATTGTTTTGGAACTTATACAGTCTATTTCTCTTCTTAGTTGTTACTCTTAAATTTTTAATGCATGAACTTGAGGTCCCTGTGTGGCGCAAGCAGTTTGTACTGGACTGATAACCTAAAGGTTGGCAGTCTGAACTCACCCAGCAGTGCCACAGAAGGAAGTCCTGGCAATCTGCTTCCATAAAAATTACAGCCAAGAAAATGCTGCGGAGCAGTTCTACTCTGTAATACATGTGGTCGCCATGAGTCAGAATTGACTTGATGTCAGTGGGTTTGGTTTTTGGGTACTTAAAGTCTAAAGTTAATCAGTAGCTCCACTCTCTTCCCAGACTGTCCAAAGGCCTTAGAATGCCAGTCATCATCCTTTTTATCTTACAAGGTATTGTTATCCAATATTTTAGCACGGTTTTTTTTTTTTTATTGTTTTATAAATCTCAGATTTTCCTTCTGGGAACATTTCTTTTTATCCTCATGCATACTCTTAAAAGCTCCTTTAATTATAGTCTGTTGGTAGTAACTTTCAGTTTTTGGTTTTCTGAAAATGTCTTCATTTTATCCTTCTTCTTAAATACATGATTTAGTTAAGTATCAAATTCTAATTGAAAATTGTTTTTCTCAGCAATCTGAAGTATTTCTCCACTTTCTTCGGGCTACTGCTGTCAGTCTAGTTATTTCTTTAAGGTGATCTCTCTTTCCTGACAACTTTTAAAATTTTCTCTTTGTTTTTTGTGCTCTTAAATTTTACTGAAGAATATTGACTATCACATTCTCTCTCTTCTATCTCCATTTCTTTTTTCTTTTTTTTTGTTGATGTTGCTTAGAATATACACAGCAAAACCTACACCAATTCAACAATTTCTACATGTACAATTCAGTGACATTGATTATTCTTCAAGTTGTGCAACCATTCCAACCATCCTCACCCTCCTTTTCCAATTTGTTCCTCCCTCATTTGTTTTCTGAGAGTCCCAGCTTTGTGCAGAGGTCTCACTTCCAATGCTCTGTTGTCACTGAGCACAAGGTCTTGCCTCTCATGCATGAGGCAATTAAAACCCAAGATTTCAGGTTGCTGGTAATGACAGATGTGGTCAGGGCATCAGTCACTTCCCATTGCTCCCTCTTTATTTTCCACTCATGAGGATTTTCTTTCTTACAAGCTCTACTGTGTTTTTTAAAAGATGTTTTTGTATTTTGTCTAGAATTTCTATGGTTTTTGTAGTGGGAGGGTTTTCCAGAATATTTAGCCTACTATTTTCTCATAAATGAAAGTCCACATTGCCACTTCATTCTGTTGAATTATATCCTTAGGACAAAATCTTGAGAGTGTACACCTGTAAAAAGTTGAGTTGGCAAACGTTGTGTGATGGATATATTTACAGTAACAACAACAGCAACAGAGTAGATGCTGAGGCTGCTTATGTACAAACAAACACTTCATGGGATTTGGTTTCTTTGCTTGGAGGTTTAGGGTCATGGTTTCATGGGACATCCCAGTTCACTGGCCTAATAACATGTTTAGTGCTTCTGTTCTACCACCTAGTTCATTGCATAGTACCTGGGGTCTTAAAAGCTTGCAAGTGGCCATCCAAGGCACAACAATTGATCTCTAGTAACCTGAAGCAACAGAGGAAGGAGAGTAGGGAAGGAGGACATAGAATGTGTGGCTAATTGCCTCCATGAACAACTGCCTCCTTTGCCATGAGACCAGAAGAACTGGATGGTGCCCAGCTACCGTTACTGAACATTTTGATCAAAGATTTCATAGAAGAATCCTGATCAGAAGGGGGAAATGCAGAACAGAATTTCAAATTCTCATGGACTCTAGAATTTCTGGAGCCATGGAGGGTGAGT